ACCCCTACCCCCCCCCCCCCCCCCCCACACCTAGTCCCCATTTTTCTTTCTTGCTCCCTTTCTCCATTTTTATAATCTTTAATATGTTTGCAAAAAGTATTTCAGAAATCCTTTTCCAGAAGTAGTTGCTTCAGTCTTTGTGAGATAAAAATATATGAAGAGAAGCTATTGGGAGAATGGGGAGGGGTAATTTACCGATGGCTAAGTGATATAGATCTGATTATTTTGGAGAGCGAAGAATGATTATTGTATGTTTTTGTAAAATTAAGTGGAACATGTATATTTGTTAGAACATATTAAGATATTTTAGTGTGGTTCATTGGCATTAATGGAGGAAACAAATTCACAATGGTTCAAGTGGTGGATGAAGACCTTGGTAAAAAAAATATGGCGAAAAATTATGGACGATGAAAACTTGGAGAACAATGATATTTTTTAGTTATTTAAGGTAGTAATAACTAGTAAGGAATAAGGATGTAAGATGACAATGGTGTCTTTGGTGAAAAAAATGGAGGGAGATGGTTGAGTAAAAGTTAGTGTGGAAGAAACGGAGTGAAAAAGAAAAATAATGAAAATTTTAAATAAGTAAAAATAAGTGAAAAGAAAAAATTTAAATTTCTTAAAATAAAGTAAAATAAGTGTGTGTCACTAAAAGTCTGATGTGGATCATGACATGTCATTTTCATTGTGTGTTTGAAGTGCACGTGAAGTCAAAAGGGTTCAAAAGATTGTGTTTCATTGAGTTTAAGTGTTTAGTTGACAATATCGTGAGTATAAGGGTCTAGTTGACAATCCAAGCCAAGTATAAGGGTCTCCTAGGTCATTCCGTCACGTATTTTCAGCAAATACAGGAATGATTTGTTATCTATTTCATTTTCGAATGATTTATTATCTATTTCATTTTCTGGGAAAATATTTTCTCCATTGTCAAACACAACCAAAATACATGTCGACTTTCTTTACAATGAACTGAAATTCATTATGGGTATATTCGAGTTGAAAAGTATAACAATCAAATTAGATCTTACATATATTATTATTGCTAATAAAGTTAGAGAAAAAACACTTGTTCAACAAATTTCACCTAAGTCTTCCGTTGAGTAGTAAGCTAGGCCAAGGGTTCGCTTGGGGCCAACAATGGTTCTCGAGTGTCAGTCTCGCCCAGGATGTAGGCTCGGGGCGTGACAAATTTATTAATATTTCGATTTCATACCTTGTAGTCTATGAAAATCTTGTAAGTAACATTTCATAAATATTAATTTACTGTAACACCTCGGTCTGAAAGAACTAAATTTAGCAACCAATTTGGAAAGAGCTAAATCGAGAATTTTGCAAGTTAGTCTTAAATTGTGAGTTTAGGATCAACTTCAAATGTCCATAACTTTCAGTACATGATAAGTTAGGTGGCTCATGAGATATCAAATGAAAGATCTTTGAGTCCTCTTTCCAATTCCAAAGAGTTTGCTAAATTCCGAGTTCATAGAAGGGAGATATGCTCATTTGCATTCATCCTGTCCGATTAAGGAAATCCATCAGAATTAAGGAGGGGTTTTTTGGTCTTTTCCTTATCCCACTAGCTTAACTCATTTTTAGTAATATTTTAGGGGTCTAAACTGATTGAGATCATTTTTCACAATTCAAAAACACACTTAGGGTTTTAGATAGAAGTTCAAGATGGATTACCTTAATTCAGATCGATTTCCTTATTAGGACAGGTTGTACAATATGGACCATAAAGGTGTCTGTAGAATGTTTTTGAGCTTCTCAATCCTGAGTGTAACTTCCACGGAAGCTTCTATGAATCGTACAACTTTCCATGGTCTATATAAGTGTCCGTGAAAGACAAGGTTCATGAGTCCTTAGGGGTTTGGTTCACTGACCAGTACACATCCCGTGAAAGCTTTCACGGTCCGTAATCTCATCCATGAAACTTACCTCCAAAAATTCCAGATACTGAGTTCAATCATAGATCCCTTCACGGTCCGTGAATGAGTACGTACAAGCCCTCTTCTACATCATTTCAATTATTTTCTGATTCCAAGGTCTGATATATATAATGAGAGAGACATATGCACTAAATCGTAAAATTGGGGGCGGGGGTATATATTCCCCTTTTCCATTTAAATAATTTATACATATTTAGATGCTTATAACATAACAATCTAAAATGTTTAGTATTTAATCTTGAAATAATATTTCTATCAATTAGATTCAGACGTTAATCTTAATGAAAACAAATGGGACCATTGTAATTAGAATATTATTTTTTAATTATTATTGATAAATCAGCTTTTTCCTAGTCAATATTTAAATATTTTAAAGTGCTTTTCTCGTTTCTCTATACATTAATATGTTAATGAATTAATTTCATACCTTATAGGCTATATTATATAATATTAATCTGTTTAAATTATTTTGACACACAATTTAATTGATTATAACCTATTCATTTCATTGATTTGTCTTTATATAAAATCTTGTTTTTTAGGAAAAAATACATTATTTGAGATTGTCCTTCTATGTAACAGTAAATTAATTGAAGTTATGATAGATTTTCTTAATATAATGATTGTACATAATTTTATTTTACGTAGTTGCCAACAAGGTTTTGTTGAGACAAGCATTTTGCTAAAGCATCAAGCCTTAAAAAAGAGGGATGTAAGTGCAAAAGTAAGAAGTATTTTGACCTTTATGGTCTTAAATATGTAGAAATTAAATCCAAGATTTCAACCCACTTCATTGACCACTTGGTCAAACCTTTGGGTGTATAATAGATCCTACATTATATGGAGAAAATCTACGATCTCAAAATAATTGAAAAATGGCTTGATAAACCCCTCAACTTTGTTATTTAGAGTTGATACACTCCTCATTATAAAAGAAGCTCACATATATTCTTACCATTATAAAAATGACTCACGTATATCTCACTGTTAATAAAGCGGCTCACATATACCCTTTTATCTAGCGATAGTGATTTTTTTTTATAATTTTTTTATTTTAAAACAATTCATATAGGGGTATATGTGTTCATTTTTCACACATGAATTTTTTTGACCTCTTTCATTATCGTTGTTTGACTCTTTTTTTTCATTCTTTATTGTAAAAATACGAAGAAAAAAAGAAGTGTGAACGGGAAAGAGAAAAAAGTAAGAAAAAAACTTTAAAATATTTTATTTGGAATATATTGTAATTTATATTTTGTATCTGTACTAAAAATTGAGGTATATATGATAAATTTTACAAAAAAAAGTTAGTGAAAAATACATTTGATCAGCAAAATATTAAATCCAAACTATTCATTGAATCAAACAAGTTAACAAAAATAATAATACTTGTGAGAAGGATCAAATACACCACAAAAAATAATATTATAATTTTTTCAAATTTTTTTACTTCCATTCAGAGAAAAAAAAGGTACATGTGAGCCATTTGTGTAATTATAAAAGTTTATGAGCAACTTTTATAACAAGGGGTACATCAACTATTAATGACAAAGTTGAAGTGAAATAATTTAAGTTAAAAGGTGCAGTATGTTTCAAATCCATTTAATTATGGATGTTTCTTTTCATCAACAACATAACGTAATGTATTAATTTAATGTAATGCCTTAAAAATTACTAACATATTTTTTTTTAAGGTAGTAAGCGGATGATTTCTACCTCTTATAAAAGGGTCTTCTTCACCCTTAAGAAATACACACTTGAAGAGAATAAATAAAGCTCCCAACTTTATACTTTTCATCACCATTTGTCTTATCTCCTTGTTTAAGTATTCTTGTATTTTGCTCTCATTTTACAACACATTATCATCACGAGTCTCTAACCAATTGAAACCACTTAATTCGAGATTATCTTTTTTTCCCTAAAAGTTAATCAATTTAGATATACATTCACGTGTTTATAACATCTCTAATAGGACTTGCATTAATTTTTCATCTATAATTTAATTACTACATATATAACTTGCTTTAGGTATTATTATGATACTTTACTAGGCATAATAATCAATATGTTTCAGGTTTATATTATTATGCTATATATATGCTACTAACTTATAAC